GCTGAGGTCATTGAGCATTGTGCCAAGGTCCTCCAGGGATTCTGCCATAACCACGATATCGTCTGCAAATCCAAGGTGAGTGATGTATTCGCCGTTGATGTTGATGCCGAGTTCGGTCCAATCCAGAAGCTTGAAGACGTCTTCCAATGCAGCGGTGAACAGTTTCGGGGAAATTACGTCGCCCTGTCTGACACCCTTCTGCAATGGAATCGGCCTCGTACTTCTCTCCTGGATTCGGACTGACATAGTGGCGTTTCTATACAAACACTTCAACACTTCGATATATCAATAGTCAATTTGGCACCGCTGGAGGGACTGCAGCACCGCCCAAGTCTCGACCGAATCGAAGGCCTTCTCATAGTCCACATACGCTAGACACAGAGGCCGATTATACTCCTCGGTCTTCTGTATGATCTGACGCAGCGTATGTATGTGGGCCATGGTACTAAAGCCCTTTCGGAAACCGGCTTGTTCGGGAGGCTGGAAGTCGTCGAACCTGCGCGAAAGTCGATTTGTAATGACTCTCGAAAACAACTTATAGACGTGGCTCAAGAGCGAGATAGGTCGATAGTTCTTCAAGCGGGTTTTATCGCCTTTCTTGAAGAACAATACCACCACGCTCCTGGTCCACGCCTCTGGAACAATGCCCCCGAGGATGACAGAGTCGAATAGCTTCTGAAGGGCAACGAGGACCGGCTTACCGCCCGCCTTCAGAAGCTCCGTAGTGATTCCGTCATCGCCCGGTGCTTTACTGTTTTTAAGCTGCTTGAGAGTCATTCTGATCTCGTACAGGCTGACATCCGGGATGTCCTCGGTATAGTGTCGGGTTAGCTTGGATCGTGGATCTTGGACCAAGCCGACAACAGGAGTTTGGGATGTTTTATACAACTGTCCATAGAATAGCTCGACCTCGCTCAAGATCTCATCTTTGGAAGAAATGACAGTGCCGTTGTCGGTCTTTAGTCTGGTCAACTGACTCTGCCCAACAGACAGATCTTTTGCGAACACTTTGGAGCCTTGGTTCCGCTCTATCGCCTCTTTAATACGCTTGGTATTGTAGAGTCGAATATCGCGTCGCACAGACTTCGAGATCTGTCTATTTAGCTGCCTCATCTTAGACCAGGAGGCTGGAGACTGCACCGTCATTTCCGTCCTCCACTCCATGAGCTCAAGAGTGTGGTCAGAGAGTTTTCCGGTTCTAGGAGCACGGCGGGTCCTGAAAAATTTCGACCCAACCGTGTGTACAGTTTCCACAAACTTGTTATTTATATCGTTCGCCGTTTCGCACTCGTCTAGGCATTGGAAGCGATTTTGGAGTTCGAGTCGAAAGCTCTCGGGATTTTCGTACTCGGCAGGTGTGGGACGTAGAGTACACTTCATCAGTCGGGACCGCTCGGCTTTGACACGAATATTCAATGTGCTTCGTAACATTCGGTGATCGCTCCCGGTTTTCACCCTGTTGATCACTGAGACATCATTGAATATTTGCCGTTTGTCTGAAAAGATAAAGTCTATCTCGTTCCGTGTCGAACCATTAGGGCTTATCCAGGTCCATTTCCTTTGTTGCGACTTTTTGAAGAAGGAATTCATCATATAGAGATTTTCTCTCTCCAAAAAATCAGCCAACTTCTGCCCTCTCTGGTTTCTCTGCCCGAATCCTTAAAGACCATATTTGAAATAAATTAGTTTTGTCGGGCGGGAGTGGAGTCGTGTGGGTTTGGTCTTCCCTAAAACGCCGTAGACTGTGAACAGCGCCACAGTGTGGCGGCCACACCGTACGTCGCGTCACAATCACGATGCTTACTTTATACATTTACTGTTGTGGTCTCTTTCATACGCTCACAACGGTGTGTGAACGCTGTAGAGCATCGTTACGCGGCGTACGGTGTGGCGCTAAACGCTGCGCAAGTTCTTAATGGTTACTCCTACTCAATGCTATGCTCCATTTATTGTTGTTTTCAGGTAAAGCTTTTTCTAAACTTATATAGAGGTTTTCCCCCTGTAGATACAAGCACAAAGTAAAACACTAAACAAGAACTGGAAACTTTAATAAAAAGCTAACCACTTAATGTACCAACATTTCAGGTAAAATGTCAGCGAATAGGCTTTGAAATGTCAAGAACTACATTTAGCGCTACATTACTGACAACAGTATTTTTCTGTAAGAAGCAAGTAAGGTTTTCTTTGCTGGAGACTGAATTTTTCTTGGTAAATAACATTTTCTGTTATTTTGTTTGTTTAAACAGCAATGCTTGTAAAATGAAATCGGGTTTTTTCCCCTACAATAGCAGATGGGCCAACTAAGAGAAGTCGACGACATGGACACCTATTAAGTGCGCTTATGTCTAAAACAGCATTAAAGACTAAGAGCTTTTTTCTGTATGGCTCCTAAAATATATAATAAGGTTATATTAAAAATAAAAGATAATGATATATTGTTTTAAACTTTCATGGTTACTAACATTATAGCTATTAACGGGATTGTATGTATTGGATGTACCTTGTTTTTTATGAGTCTCCGATATTTCGGCACTTGCAAGCGCCATGATCACGGAGTGACGATTCAGTGACGAGTCCGTGATCATGGCGCTTGCAACAGTGCCGAAATATCGGAGACTCATAAAAAACAAGGTACATGGTAACAATCCCGTTAAAAGATAATGATATTTATTTGTACTGAAATCATTTAAAATTATTCTTAATTGACTATTACAATTTGACTGATTTTTTTACTGACACATCATAAATGTATGTAATTTTATTAATTAACCATTAATTGTGGATCATTTTATAATTTTATTTTTATTGTTTAACCGATAATGTAGATGTCTTACAAATAGCAAAATAATAGTTTTTACGCCAATGGCCGGGCCATAGTGAGACTTACCAAATTAAGTTACCTTATTACTGTACTTTTACCTATGTCATACAAACAAATAAATTTAATTTCGTTCAGTTTTATTAAGAAATCTAAAAATCGGCCCTCTATAATATTATTAACTATATAAACAAAAATAAATCGCCGGAAAGTGACGAAAAATCTAAGTGAAAAATCAAATAAGCTTTCGCCACTAAAATATTCAGTGACGGTAAGTATAGAGATAAGACAGAACTTGTTCCAATTCGACCTTTTGACGATGACGATACCCTTTCAGTTCAGGCGAATAAGTTTTTCGATTTGTCTTTCATCTTCCCCGTGACGATAAAAAAATCACAAGATGTCCTACAATATGCATTTTTGTTATTACGTAATAAAATCACGTGTCGGCGGAATATCCACTCTATATTTTTTTTAAACGAAAAATTCGTTTACTGCAAGGTGATTTACTAAATAAAATCAAACCGAGTCAAGCAAACTCACTCAGCAAAAATCTAATATTTTGCTGATACGCCATTGAAATAAAAGATTAAGAAGATATATTTATTTAATTTTTGTTTTGTTTATCCCATGTAGTATCCCAGTGAACTGAACAATTTTATTTATTTTCTTTTTAAAACCTTATATAATGTAAAAGTTACGAGCCTCTTGGACTGTAAGTAGTACTAAGTTCGCCGGGTCAGCTCGTCATATGTTGTTTGTACGTCAAATTTCTAGGTGTCGCGTACTCGAGAGGTCTCGGGTTCGAATCCCAGTGGGGGCAGATGTTTGTGTGATGAATAAGTGCATTTGAACTACAATCATGGATGTAATATGTAGTTCTTTATTATAAATAAACTTATATATGTATCATTATATGTACCTAATCTATCCGTTACCCTAGTATCTCATAACACACAACGTACTTACTTTGGGGCTTGGCTAATGGGTGTGAATGTTGGAAATATTTATTGGAACGAAAGTTCCTTACGGCAGGCTTGGAGGGCAGGCGACGAGGGTGCATCACTGAAATATTGTGATATTACACCAACACTGAATATGTGTGAAGTTATAGGGGGTTGTAGAGCGACGAGGGTGCATCACTGAAATATTGTGATATTACACCAACACTGAATATGTGTGAAGTTATAGGGGGTGGTAGAGCGACGAGGGTGCATCACTGAAATATTGTGATATTACACCAACACTGGATATTTGTGAAGTTATATCAAGCTGTGGACCAGTAACGCCTGTGAGACATGATAATGATTACAAGGTGAGTACTTATCAAGTGGTGGCAGAGCGACGGGGGTGCATCACTGGATTATTGTGACATTGTAGTTTATTCTAAACTGTGGGCCATTCCTGCCTAGCATCCTTTACGAACGCTAGCGGGACATGATAATAAGGTGCGTATGTAGGGGGTGGCACAGCTACGAGGGTGCAGCACTGGAATATTGTGACATTACACGAAATCTGGATATTTGTGACGTTATACCGAGCTGTGGACCAGGAACGCCTGTCATCTGCTGTAAACTTAAGCTAGACATGATAACAAGGTCAGTACTTAACAGGGGGTGACAGAGCGACGGGGGTGCAACTCCAAATTATTGTGGCATTATACCAACACTGGATTATTGTCGTATATTATACTAAACTGTGGTTAAGTCCAGGGGGGTGGCAGAGCGACGGGGCTGCATTACTGGATTATTGTGACATTGTAGTTTATTATAAACTGTGGGCCAGTCCTGCCTAGCAATCTTTACGAACACTAGCTGACCGAACTGAAAAAAATGTGATAGAACCGTAAGAAAAAATCCGTGGAAAAAAGTGCGTGGAATAAAACCGTTAAATGAGACGTGCGCAGGCGCGACAGTCGCATACACAAGCGAGTTTGCAATTTGTGTCGATTCTACATTAGCCGAAGGAACTTCGTTCCTACCTGGTGTCCCACGACACCACATCATTTTATTTATTTATATAATATAGGTACGCTTGTAAGTTTAAAAATGTGCAGCAGGTAAAACGTTTCATAAGCAACACATTAAAATATGTTTACAATCGTTTCCACGAGAACAGGTTTTATCGCACTTATCAAAAGTGCAAGCATATTTTAAAACAAAATGAAAAAATATAGTGAGTTATGATATTTCAACAAATTCTGATAATAGGTAAAGTATATAAAATTTATATTTTTCTATTTTGTATTACAAAAATATGCATTATAACAAGAGTTCGCTAAGATCATAAATAATAATTATTTCGATCGCAAGTAGATTTTCCAATAATTTCTAGATTGCATGTAGGTACTTTTTTGGCTAATAAATCCTTGGGATCTAAATACAGTAGTTTCTAATTCCTTTCATTCCCTTCTAATTCACACCTGTTTGGGAAAGTTAGAAATTAGCAAATATACGTCACATTGGCCCTTAGCGATGATAGCTAGATTTAGATTCTGATGGTGCGACTACACTTGATCGTTAGCTCAAATACGAGTGCCAGTGGAACTCGGGTAAACGACTAAGTGTAAGTGTGGAGGAGTTCGATGGCGCAAGTGGTAAGCGCGTTCGGCTGCGATCGTTGAACTTAAGCAACTTTCGCAGTGGTTGGTCATTGGATGGGTGACCAAAAATTACTATCTCGAGCTCCTCCGTGCTTCGGAAGGCACGTTAAGCCGTTGGTCCCGGCTGCATCTGCAGTCGTTAGCACCCACCAATCCGCACTGGGCCCGCGTGGTGGGTCTTGGCCCAATCGTCCTATTACATCCATAGGGAAGGCCTGTGCCCCAGCAGTGGGAACATTAATAGGCTGATGATGATGATGATGACTAAGTGTAAACGAACGGAGTCGAGTAAGCTCCTATTCGAGTAGATTTCCTTTTATGTCTCCGACACCGTCTACCAGTCCGAATTCCAGTGTAAATATTGCTTCGGGTGCCCGAATTCGATTAATGTCTTACGTGCTCCCGAATACGGGCAAACGACCAAATGTAATTGCGGCATGAAACAGATTGAAATTGTCTAAGAAAATAAATATTTTGATAGGTTTATAATGTAACATTTGTAAACAATACAAAACTAACAGCAACAAACATAACAACATTGAATAAAACTAGGTTTTTTACGGGTTAAGTAATGCACGAAACTTTATATTTATTTATTGACATTTCGCAGCCTTTACAGGCTTCGTCGTCGGAATCAATTTTTTATTTAATTTTGTCGAGCTAAATAAAGTTTCGTGCATTAACACGTAAAAAACTAGTTTTATTTAATGAGTGATGTGCGTGAAAACCTAAGAAACAAGTATAACAACATTGACATTTAATATATTCCATTTGCCATAAGCAAAAAAAAAATATTGGAAAGAAAGAATACATCCGTTCCATGTTTATATTTCAGTAACCTTGTGCATCCCACTACCGTCTTATCAACATTTCGTTTGGGTGAGTCCGTTTCATCCTTTTAAGGTTAAACCTTTTTCCCCTTTGGAATTTTGCAAATTAAATTACGGTAACATCAAAAAGAGAGTCATTGGAAAATATAATCGTATTAAAACGTACTTTCCCGGAATCAATTTGATAGATTTGATTTAATTCTCTCTTTTTTTATTTTATATTTAAGGAATACAAAATCCAGTTTTGCAACAGTAGCAATCTTATCTGTTTTTCAAATGTTCGGAACTTGGCTGGACACTTTTAAATAAGGATTAGAATTTGTAACATAATTCTGGTTCTTAGGAACATTTTTACTAGAAATAAGTCGACTCGGTTCAGGTTACAGGCAGGACTCGAACCTGCCTCTTCCGCTGTCCGGGCGTAGGGTTGACAGTTCGCTAAACCTAATAGCCAGACAGACCAGCCAGTATGGCTGGACGTTTAAGTAAAAAGGCCGGATACCCTACATTATTGCGGAAATTTTGGCTCAGTCATATTAGGTACGACAATTTTTTTTATGTAAAAGCTACCGACGCTCAACTTGCTTGCGTTCGGCCACGCTCGGCGCTCGCTCGTTTGCGAAATATAAAAAGCTTAAAAAAAGCCGGACAAGCTGGATATCATGTATTTTGTCCCATGGGTACTCCATGTTTTGGCCGGACATGCAATTTAAAAGCCTAACTATGTACGGCTTTATCCAGCGCCTGGCAACGCTATCCGGGCGGTTGAACTAACCGCAATTCTACCAAGGTCCCAATGATCGTGTCTTGCGTGTAGAATTTTTGGAACGAACATTCTTTTTCTAGTATTTTTTTTTAGATTTATTAATAGAGCAGATAAATGCTTAAAATATAATATACCTACCTTATAATTCTGGTTGTTATTTATAAATGTTTTAATCTTTCTCGCTGGCATAGAAATGAAAGAAATATAAATAATATGCCAGTTGCTTATCTTCCCACGCAGATACGAAAAGTCTATCACATAAGCAGAGTAGTTTAGTCTATTTCTAGATAATCTCCTGGGTAAAACCGATTACGTACTAATAAGTATACGTAGCTAGTGTTGCTTAAGTATTGTTATTATTATTCGAATCTTTACCAATGAAACTAACAAGTAAGCTGGATTTATACTAATTACGACATGAAGTTATTATGTTTTTCAAATCGGTATGTATGTATAATATGTAAAACATTTGCTCTTTCTAGCCATTGAATATGTGCGTTGAGGCGGATATTTGCAATCACACTTGGATTCCAGAATGTGGGAAGGATATTAACACAGGGGAGATGAGGCTTTTTATAGACGAATGCGATGTATTTGAATACAACTGTGACTATGAGAAACGTATGTTAATAAATATTTACATTTAGCCAAAAATTGAGGATTTGAGGAGCTCGATGGCGCAAATGGTTAGCGCGTTCGGCTGCGATGTTAAGCAACTTTCACAGTGGTCGGTTATTGGATGGGTGACCAAAAATTTACTATCTCGAGCTCCTTCATCCTTCGGAAGGCACGTTAAGCCGTTGGTCGTTGGTTCTGGCTGAATCTGCAGTCGTTAGCACCCACCGAACCATCCGCATTGGCACCGCATCCGCGTGGTGGGTCGGGGATCAATCTCCCTATTCCATCCATAGGGAAGGCCTGTGCCCTAGCAGAGGGGACGATGAAGATGATTCAAAAATAAGATACGATTCTTAAACACAAGTTTCCACATTATTCATACTCAAAATGTAATTGGCGTCATTGATTGAGGCCGAAACTTTGCTAAACACTTTGTATACCAAGTTCTCAACCTTCATGATAAAATATTTTCCAGGGTTAATATTGTAAAAATTAAACTCGTCATTTTAATTATTTTAAAATATTAATTACTAGCGCCGCCCGTGACTATGTCCGCGTTAAGTTTAGTGTTTTGAGATTCTCTTAGGAACATCCTACTTTTTCGGTCTCAATCCAGGTCATAAATTATATGCGTACCAAATTTCATACAAATCCATTAAGTAGTTTGTGTATGATTGAGTAACATACATACAAACTTTTACGTTTATAATATTACTAGCTGACCAAATGTCCAAAAAATAAAATGTTAGGGGTGGACAATCCTTATCACTGAGGGGTATAAAAAATAGATAGTATCCGACATTGAGACCTACTGAATATCTATATAAAATTTCATAAAAATCGGTCAAGCCATTTCGGAGGAGTATGGTATCTAGCATTGTGACACCAGAATTTTATATATAAGAACTAAGATGGCGGGACTTCGGCATTGAGATGTTGCAATCCCCGAATAGAATTTATCACGTACGTATTTCATTTGTTTCAGGTTTCGAGCCAGTAAACTATTCCGCTTGTTTTGTTTACCAGGTAGGTGGTTGTCCGACTCAAGCCCCGTGCCCTTCAAATCCAACTTGTCCAAATCACAGATTCCACAGGGCTGGAGATCATTACATATATATTACTCAAGCAAGAAGAATGTTGCATGCGTCACGTGGCTACCCAACGTTAAAAGTCTCGCTACCCCATCACATGCTACACGGTAAAAGAAGGTACACCCCGATACCCAAACACCGGAGGAAAACAGCGAAAAAGCCGCAAATGGTCACGAAAAAGATGACCCAGAAAAAATGCTCTTACTCAATGACAAACGACATGAAGATACCACAAACAAATAAGATAACAAAGACAAAAATAAATAAAATGACGAAGCCGCAAACGAAAAGCAAACAGCAGACGGTAATTCTAAGAAAGGAAATTGTTATTAGGAATGGCAATAGGTGGATTAAGGTTATTAAAGGGATTCCGACGAAAGCCATGAATACTAAAAGTAATAAGATCAAAGATGATTCCGATTTCCTGGAGTAAACATTAAATCGAGTTATTCGTTTTTATTATAATACAGACTTACATACAATTCGTTTTATTTTTTATTATGTTACGAATAATCTGATTTTCTTTTGCTATGTAATAAAAGGAGGTGTTAAATTATATGGAATAGCCTCAATCAAATTTAAATAACTTTTTCTAAGTACTTAAAAGAGCGAAAATTTTATTGTGTGTTTGTATGGCAAACAAATACTGTACAGAAATGCTTTTTAAAGTTACAATTCAAAAGAAATGTTGAGAAGATAATTAATAATATAAGAATCAAAATGAAAAATGCTAAAATTACTATTTATCAGTAAGCAAATCTCAAAATTCGTTGTAAACCAGATAGCCACTTTGTTGTTATTAATAATTTTGCGCTGTGCAATGAAGACCATTATAATTTAATCGTTTAATTAATTATAAAACAAATTTATCCTCCAATTTTGTAATCAATATATTTCAGTTCTTCTTTTTGTCCACATACCTATAACTTCGGAACATTTTATCTCGGTAAATGATTTGTGTATATTAATTAATATTATTAAGTTTTGAAACGAACAGTATATAGTACAGTAGAACAGTACGTAGTCGGTACTGTAGTCTTTTTATTTTATTTTAGATCGACCATCATTGTTACTTAGCACACAGGTGCAACCATACTCAAATACCAATATGTGGTTTTGATAACTCATCATTACACAGGAAGATATTCATAGATGACTGTCAAATGCTCGAATTCAACTGTAATAATAAAAAAGGTTTGTTATTATGAAATTGTGAGATCAATTTAATTTTTCTTTATAAATTAGTTTTCTAACTTATTAATGCTTGTAGATTACATCCAAGTGAGTTTGATCGAATGCCATGATTGTTCAGATATAGAAAAGACTATAGAACCACGAAATGATATGGAAACTATAACGTCTAGTTTATTTATTACCACTGGACCCACTCCTATTTTGACAACGGAATCAACAACAGTTGCAATCAAAACAGATTCGATGGCAACACTTTTATCACCAACACTTATGACTACCACAAATACAACAGAACCAATAACTATTACTACAACTGCGCCTTACTCTATTATTTTTACAACATCAACAGAGAAATATAGTAATTCAACAACAATAAATATGACTATTACAAATACAATTAAGCCAATAACGTCTACTACTACCGAGCTTACCTCAACAACTTTAACAACAACAACAAAAGAACAAGTAACAGAAAATACCAATTTAACAGACCTAACAAATAAAACTACAATCAAACCAACGCAAACGATTTCTGATGGAACCACAACACCTTTGCAGATTTGTAGTTGTGGCACAACAACTCATTCTACATCAGCAGAGCCAAATATCAACACAACAATAACAGAGATGACCGGAGTATATGATATAACTGCAAATAGCACGTTTGCAAATGATTCATCAATAATTACTATGACAGCAACAACTGCAGTGACAGAAAAAATAAAAGAAAATATAACTACAACGGAGCCTACACTCAAATCAACACAAACGACGTCGCATCAGACTACAATACCATTGTATACTTGCAGTTGCGGCACAACAGTTCATTCTGTTGTAAAAGCAAATATAAATACAACACCGTTGCATATTTGCAGTTGTGGTACAACAGTACAAGCAAATATCACTACAACAGGAACGACAAATGCACATAGTATAGATAGCGCTTCAGCAAATGATTCTTCAACCATTATAACAACCACAACTACAGCAGCTACTACAAAAACACTAATTGCAAACACAACGATTACCCAAATTAACGTTACAACTGATAAACCTGTACAATCACCTACAATCACAGATGCGTCTTTGGTGCCATGTGATACCTATCCAAAAGACTGTGAGAGGCCTTCTACATGGGAGACAACATCACAAGGAGAGACTAGAGACTTCTTCCAAATAATGAAGGAACGATACGGACGGCAGGCGAGAATGTTAGCAGACACGACACATTGGCCAACTCGTTTAAATTTATATTTAAGAAAGCGTACGAGAAATTCGTTCGTGTTCGGAAATCATAATGAAGTGGGATGATGATGTAAAGGTATTAAGGCTTTTTAGGTCGTATGAAATTTTTTGAAAATTTTAATATGTATCTCAATATTGGCTGTCATCAATGAGACGTAGTTAATATCTCAATTTCGGTATATTATGTCAACTTTCGCAGTGGTCGGTCATTGGATGGGTGACCAAATATTTACTATCTCGAGTTCCTCCATGCTTCGGAAGGCACGTTAAGCCGTTGGTCCCGGCTGTATCTGCAGTCGTTAGCACCCGCCAATCCACACTGGGCCCGCGTGGTGGGTCGTGTCCCAATTTCCCTATTCCATCCATAGGGAAGGCCTGTGCCCCAGCAGTGGGTAATATTATAAAAGCGATAGTGTGTCTGTCTGTTAAATTGCTCAACAGATATAGATGAATCTAATGCCGGGAAAGGATATGGGATACTTTTTATTCCAGAAATCATCATTAGAGAGAGTGAAAAGGGGGGCGCAGGTTTGTATCGCAAACCATTTTTTAGAAAAGTTGCTGGCACCCACTAGTATTTTAATCAATTAGTGCGCACTTAAGTATATACATTGTATTTTTCTTAATGTTACGTGAAAGTATTTGAGTTTATATTTAAGCTTCAGCACCTGTCTGGAGAAGTAATCACCACATTTGAGAAGAACTCATTAAATTAACACTAACACTACCTTTTGATGGTGTCGTGTCTATTTAAATATTTGCATGCTATATTGTAAATGGCAGAATGGGCCGAACTTTGTATTTGTAACATTTCCGGTGTACCCCTTTTCTAATGCATAAATAAATTCTAATTCTAATATGACAGAGCTAAAAGTTTCCAGGATTGCATGGAGTAGGAAACGCGTGACTGGTACTCTGATAGGACAAACCGTGTGTAGGCTATGGAGACTACTTACCATCGATTGGGTCCTAATGCTCGTTTGCTACTCTTTCTACATAAAACAAAGGAACAAACATACATATATAGACTGTTAAACACTATATCCTGTCTGCGCGTAGCGCTTCGCGCTCTTGCATTGCGCGGTCGGGTAAAAATAGATATAATATTTTATTTTTTCAGCATTTAACCGACTAAAAAAAAACGACGGGTTGCACTCCGGGAGTGCCGGCAGAAGTGACAACAACAAAAGTTAGGGAATAGTTTTGCACGAATTGCTTTAATTATCAGTATAAAAGTACAAAAACCATGTATGACGGTTGTTCCCCTTTAAAAGTTCTACAAACAAAGTCGACGACAGCTTTTTAAAGAACATTTAAAAGGGGTTCATTCAAAAAAATTCATTCAATTCAAAAACAGGTCCTGAACTACACAACAAAATTTTCACTGTTAGGTAAATAAAATTTCATGGAAGGTTTATAATTATATAAAGAAATTCATTTTGAAAGTAAAGTCTGAGAACCAAAACTATAGTCTACACTACAGCTCTACACCGAAGCGAAGCGAGGGCGGGCGGAGGCCACTAGTAGTTAATGATTGTATTAGTGTATAATATTAACATAATTAATTAGATTAAAAACATTGACAATTGGAGTCACTTACCCTTCTTCAAGATTACCCGGAGTCACGTAAAATTTTCACATTAATGCACACCTTCATTAGGAGCAATTTGTCAGAGTTCCATTCAAAATTCTGAGCGTAATTGTGTTTGTGTACCTACTATAATGGTGCGATCACACCACGTACGTGAAGGCATGTCGTTAAATATAATCAAAGAAGGTAAATTTGTATCAAATAAAAAGAGTTTCTACATTTTCTAACAGAAACCATGAGAAAGATTCTTCGGATAAATACATACTTTGTGTTAGAGGGAAAGCTCCAGTTTCTCGCTGGCTTCGCTTCATTAGATTATTGATAATTATTATACAACATCGACTCTTACCAAAATGTACCTTATATTTTTATTACATTTGTGTCATCCTGTTATGTTTTTTTTGCTTAATTTTTGATGATCTGCCAAAACAGGCGTAATGAAATATCATTTTACTTTAAAGGCAGAAGGTGAGTCAATATTAAAACACTTTTCGATGTTTATTTTTTTTCATAAGAAATTGCGTTTTCCTTTAATTATGTTTTATTGATATTCATTTGTGTGAAAGCACCTTAAGAGTCGGTGAGCTTTGTTCGTTCAAGTAATCTGGTTGTAATGTCAAGGCTTGATGCAGATAGCGAAGTAACGAGCCTTAATGCTGATATTGTTTGCGAATTAGTGATTGTGAAACCACTTCATAGTGCTTTATAAGATTTTAGAATATACCACTTTGTAAGGTCTATCTTGTATTTACATCGACGGTGGGACATGGGTTGAAATAATGGATTCCTTGAACCCTTATACCAAAGTTAATACAATTAGGTCCGATGTTAAGTGGGCGTACGTACGGATTTGGTTACTAGCCCACTGTCTACAATTGTAAAGGAAACATCGTTGTCTTACGACTTACTAAATAAAATTTCAATACTTAGTCGCAAGTCGTAATCTGAGCTTTAAGTCGATTACCTAGACACTGTGTTTGTTGTATACAAAAAAAAAGTTTTAGTTCCGACTGAAGCTCTGTTCTTCGAAGAAGGGCTTAAGTTATGACAAATGGTTGATACTACGGTAGCGCTGTCATACAATTTCATAATAAAAAAATGTCACACCACTGGCTGGCCTGCCACACCATTAAACCTTGTTTTAGAGAATATTACGGCTGATCAATAAATTTTTATTATCTTCCACTGCTAGTTTCATTTAAAAAAATAAAAATACATAAATTATTTTAAACCGTATGCTACTACTACTATAATCCTACCAAAAACATTTGCATGTAAAATGTTACCAAGATGAGACCATATACATGTCAAAAAGTTATCAGATCTCATGTGTACCAAGGTTCTAAATCTACACCCGCTAACTCTACAAGGCCTTCACATACTACACCGTAGTCAAAATATGT